TGCTACCAAGACTGCAAACAGAGAGGGATTGATTATGCGTCCAGGGAGATTAACTCTGCCTATTGATTTCTCAGCAACTAAAACTTCATGGTGGAAATGTTAAGTCACAGACCGCCAGAGCAGAAGGGGTGGCAGACATTTTACCCAACTTCATCACACTCACGTGGGAGGCAGTCCCAAGAGTCCGAGTCAGGGCGGAAGCTAACAGGTAGAACTCCTCTAGGGATTCCTGACCCCGAGGACATCAGGCTGCATCGTGAGCGGCAGGGAGAGCAACAGGAAGAACAAGCCTGGACTTCCTTAGGCAGTGAGACTAGGCAAGGCTCCAGAAACACCCCAGAATTTTTTTGGGGGGGAGGCAGTGCTTCTCTCTTCCTCCCTAGATACTCAGGGCTTTCAGAGAGCCCCCAACTCATTGCCCAGAAGGTGAGAGGCAGCTGGCTGCACCCTGGACCTCCATGTGATGGGGTCTTGGACGTCTAGCAACATAGTACATACATGCTCTTAAATCCCGTTGCCTAATAGGGTTAGCCTGGGCAGGACTGAGCTCTGTGGGGAGGGTGCTGCACGGTGCCTGACGGAGGCAGTGGGCGGAGGTGAACCGTGAATAGGAAGGGATATTCAAAAGATGAAGCCCAGACCGGTGAATCTGCTTACATTCCATTCTGCCAGTCACCAAGGGGTAGAATGGACCTTCCTTTATAGGCATTCTGAGATGGCTTTTTTCTTCATTCCTTTATTTATTCATTCATCTGCTTTTAAAATTCTTATTCACGCATCCACTTTCCTTAGGGTTTTAACTAGCAATCATGTATGGTGCATAGGTTCCCTAGTGGTAAGATGGTGGTGGAAGCGGTGGGGTTGGGGGTGGGAAGATGGTGGTGGTGATAGATGGTGTTGGCAGGTGGGTTGGGTAATGGTAATGGTGACGGTATTGTAGTTGATGGCGGTGGTTATGGTTACAGTGGTGATGTCCTGGTGGTGGTGGTGATGATGAGTCATTGTTGTTCCAGTGTTGTTGATGATGGCAACGATGGCGTTATTGGTGGGGACAGTGGTAGCGATGACTGTGGTGGTATTGTTGATCATGGTATTACTGAAGGAGTTGATGTTAGTTTCCTCTTACTGCAGTAACAAATTTACCACACATTTGGTGACTTAAAACAACACAATCTATTATTATCTTACTGTTCTGTAAGCCAGAAGTTCAACACAGGTCTCACAGGGTGAAGATCAAGGAGTTCCTTTCTGGAAGTTTACTGTGGTGGGCTAGATGTCTTTCCTGGAAGGAGGCAGGGCTGAAGAAGAAGGACTCTAAGAATCATTTCTTTGTGTCTGCCAGCTTGTCAAGACCGCCTACACCCTCCGGCTCAGGTCCTCCTTTCTTTATCTTTAAAGCCAGCAATGCCACATCTCTGACTCATCCTTCAATGCCAATCTCTCTCTCTGACCACAGCAAGACAGCTTCTCCATTTTATGGATTTGTGTTGATTCGACCCACCTAGATAATCCAGGTTCATCTCCCCATCTCAAAGCCTGTACCCTTAAACACAATGAAAAATCTCTTTGTCCTTGTAAGGTAACACGTTCCCAGGTCCCAGGGATCAGGGGGTGGGCATGATTGAAGGACCATCTTCTGCCTACCAGACAGGAAATGGTGATGATGGTGATTGGTGGTGCTTGGTAATGGTTGGTCAAACCAACACGCCCACCTTGTCCATTCCACAAACTTGCCCCAAAGTGGAAACACGTTCCCCGCATTCAGTCTATAATTTTGTTTCCATCACCTTCTGGGAACTTCTTTTTCCTTCAGGCCCGTCTCCTCCCTGGAAAATGATCTACTACCGCAGTAAGGGAGTACTAGTCACAGCCGATCTGTCTGCCAAGGCTGCGGCCAAAGGGGAGTCTGCAACCTGCCGTCTGCCCCCAAACAAAAGAACTTTGGTCAAGGACAAAAAGTCACTGGAAAGACGCCACCAGACCCATTCAGACGACATTTAGAAGCGAGCACTCCAACAGCCACCGGCTTACTTCCTTGCCAAAATTAATGACTCTAGCTCCAATGCATATTCATGACCATTTCTCAAAAATCTATGAAATATTCATAGCTTCCTTAGTCCACGTCTCGATGCATGTGCATAACACAGGGACTCCCCTTTGTTCGGGGCTTGCTTGCCTTGGTGATGCTCATCTCAGCTTGGCCCTGGCTTGACCAATCAGAGTCCAGCTCTCCTCTTTTGCCTTCCTGCACTTTCTGTCTCTGTTTCTTAGGACTGTGTTGGGAACGCCGGGATGATGTTGATGGCGGCAATGGTGACGGCAATGGGGGCATGGAAGGTGGGGATCTGGGCCTTGGAGACAGTCACAGTTTGGGTAGGAAGGAGGGGTGACCTGTACACAGGCCTCTGGGATTCGGAGGCATGGGAAAAGGGGAATGCAGAGCTTGTCGACCTAGAGGAAGTGGAAGTTCTTGCTGACAAGATATTAGAAAACTCTTCCAGGGCCCGAAATTAAAAAGCAGAAGAAATCTCTGTAAAATGAAGGGCTTCATTACTGTTCTGTTTGTAACACCTGCTGACGAAACTGAGTCAGACAATATGAAAAATTACAAAGAGGAAGTTTAAGTTTTACCACAATCTCATTTCCCAAACTTGAAGAGTGGGGAGGGAGGCCATCGTTACATGGGGTGAGGGCTGGGAGGCTCCCTGACCTTGAGAGCATTCCCTTCCAGGTAGAGGAACTGGGGAGAGTGACAAGAAGGAGCTTTCAGAGGGTGGAGAGGGCTGAGCCCCAAGAGTCCCGTCCAGAGACAGAAAGGAGGCCCTGCTCTCTGGGGGTGAAGGGGTGCAGCCCATGGGTTAGGGAAGGGATTGTGCTGCTTCCAGAGTTTGGCACCAGTGAGGTGGGGGCATGTGGGCTGGGCCGCCACCCTGCCTGCTCTTTGTCCTGTGACCCACCTGGCTGAACAGATAAGCTTTGCGGATGGTTGCGTTCTGTTTGCCACTGAGTGAGTGTGAATGCAGGCAGATACGGAATCTCAATGAGCCAGACAAAGCTCCTGGCCCTTCGTTTCCTGGCCCTGCGGGAAGCAGGCCTTCCCTGGATCCAACATCTGTGGTCGTTCCTGGATCTGAGCAGGACACCGAGCAGTCTTTGAAATGACCTTGGGGGGAAGCCTCTGGGTCCTGAAGCCGAGGCTGAGGGATGCTGGGAAGGTTTCCGTGCATCTCAGGCCTCAAACATGTCAGAGCTGTAAGGACCCCTCACCATGCCCAGGCCTTGACAGTCTTTCTCTCCCTGTGTATTTGTTTAAGTTTCTCAGAACTCATTCCCTGCCATGCAGTCGATGCCAACTCAGAACGACCGGTTAGGACAGGGTCCAACTGCCCCGTGAGTTTCCGAGACTGCAACTATTTATGAGCGTAGAAGGCCCCGTCTTTCTCCCTCAGGGAGGCTGGTGGTTTTGAACTGTGGACCTTGGAGATCACAGCCCAATGCATACCCTCAATGCCAGCAGGCCTCCTATTCATGTCACAGCATCCTTTCATCAAGCCTAATCTTTGGTGAAGGTCCACTGTGGACCCCAGCCCAAAAGAGGCTGCTTCGCCTGAAGCAAAGGAAGACGTGTCTGCCGAGCTGGGCATCTGGGTCACTTCATCCCTGAGCCTTGGTTTCCTTGTCTGTAAGAAGAGATGACCCCACTTGTCTTTTAGAGGACCACACGGGGTGACTCCACATGCTGAGGACCACGGAGCATTTCCTAACAGTCAGTTGGAGCTTCACTCTGGGCTTAACCTGGGAGGAAGACTGCTAGGGGGTGGCGATTTGAAGATGGTCCTGGAGGTTACCTGGGGAACACATTGATATTCTGACTGGATTAACGTTTGTATCCTTCTCAAATGAAGTGTTGGAGTCCTTATCCCTAATCCCTTTGGATACAATCCTGTGTGGAAATAAGATTTTTTATTATGTTAATTAGGTCATAATGGAGTAGAAAACCCACTGCTATCCAGTCCATTCCGACTCATTTATTTGTCTGTCCACTCCATCGAATCAATTCCAATTCATCGTGACCCAAAAGGGCAGGGTAGAACTGCCCCTGTGGATCTATAGGAGTCGAATGCCTCCTCTTTCTGCTGTGGAGTGGCTGGTGGTTTTGAACTGTTGACCTTACAGTAAGCATTATGCCACCAGGTCATTATTCCAACTCATAGCGATTCTATGTCTGTAAATTCTGAGGCTGTAAATGCTGCATTTGAATTGCCAATCTTGCATTAGCCCTTCAACCCTGACTCAACAGCGCCACCATGGGTTCTAAAGCTAATGCCGTCTGAGTTCTGAAAAGAGCAGATCAGACACACACACAGGGGACTGGCCCTGTGTCAGGATTGTCTACAAACCAAGGAATTCCAAGGAGCCCCTGAACACCTGAGTTACCAATGAGGAAAGAATTGGGTGGACCAAGACCCTGCTCTGAACTTCCAGCCTCCAGAGCTGTGAGACAGCAACTCTCTGTTCTTTAATGCCACCCACTCGTGATATCTGTGACAGCAGCACCCGGTAACTAAGATAGTCTCCAGCCACCTCCACCTCTGCTGCCGGGATTTAATCCAAGGCCCCCATCTCAATCACTTTTCTTCAGACTCTCAGTTCTAGGAGTATTCACCACCCCCCACCCCCCATGGTTATTAAAGGATCCTTTATTAAGTGTTTTCTTTGTGGTTCTTAACTTGCTGGGCATACCACTGCACCACTGTTGATGTCATCCACGGTGTCATGAGGGTGGCAGCCATCCACATTGCAGCCCGCAGACTGGGCAGATGCCAGAATCCTTTCAATCCGTCCGGAGAGTTCTCTGGTGAAAGATCAGTGTCGCATTTGATGGGCAGTGGTGACGATCTCATCGCAAGTGATGTTCCCACTGTGCTCAACGCTGGAAGAGAACACAGCTGTCATGACCCAGGGCCACCCAGTCCACACGTGTCAGCAATCATCCTCTAGACTGGCCCCGTGTTTCAGCACAGAGCCATCCACATGAAGAGCAGCTCTGTTTCCTAAGCTGGGGTTTACTCTCCACTCACCACTGGATTGCAGCAGCCAACAGAGAAATGGCCAGGGGCCGTGGCGGTGGCTTGTCTAGGAGTGTTCATTAACGACATTAACGATACCAGCAGCTAATGCTTCTGAAGCACCTGCCCCAGGCCCGCTACTGTCCTAAGGGCTCCGCCCGTGTCCTGTCAGTTGGTGTTCCTAATGAGTGAACGTGTACCAAGCAAACTGGTTTTCCACCCCACAGTCTGTACACACTTTGTTTGTGAAGTTGGTGGCATTGGCGCTCGTCCCACGTCCTGCTGCATTGGCCATTTCCATTCTCCTGTCTCTCCTAGTCCTTCCTGGCGTCTGAGCAGCACCCCTGGGTGGGTGCTGCCCTTTGAGTGACGGCTAAAAGACCATGCACTGCCTTCGTAGGCCTGTCTGTTGTTTGGCTGAAAGTTGAGCCCCCGGGGGGGGGGGGGGGGATCAGTTTAGGCCTTAAAGGATGATGAAGGACCTTAGTCTTGTGGGGTTTACCATCAGAGCAGTAACCCTGGTATTTCCTATGATTTTGAGCACCCCCCCCCCTCCGCTTTTCTCTTTCTCTCTCTTCATGACCTTCTACCTTGATCCCTTCCAGAGCTGCAGGCTGTGGTGGAGGGACGCCATCAGGCTCTTCCCATTTCGGGGTTGCAGTGGCTCTCTGTTGTGTTTGTGAGGTGTCAGCTTTGACTCATACGGACGCGATGAAGCACAAACCGAAGCACGGCCCGCCTCTGCACCCCCTCCCAATTGTTCTTAGGCTGGAGTCCGTTGTCAGCCATCTCATCAAGGGTCTTCCTCTGCTCCACCAACCTTCTCTTTACCAAGCAAGACGGGTCTCTCTGGGAAACACGTCTGAAATACACGAGACGAGGCCCGCCCACCCC